CAACACAAAGCATCCATTACAATCATGCTTATCAGAAGAGATTGGTCCTGATAGACTGACAGATACATGACCAAGTAAAGAGGTATTAAAAACCTTTAAGAAAGTCTAGCCATTTATGGATAGTTGACACTTAATACATGGCAATACAATAATAAATGGAGAAAACACTCTAGTGGATGGTGCTTATAAACCTGGGAATCCATTTGTAGAGAAATAAAATCTATATCTCACACCATATACAAAACTAACTCAAGATTCTATAAAGACCTAAATGTAAAGTTTTTAAAAATTTTGTCTAATGAAAAGAAGAATAAACATAAGGCCTTAATTTATAGCACATATTAATTAATAAAGATAACAAAAATCTCACTCATTGTTGTTTAGTACAATAGACTCAGAACCAACCCATAGCTGATCCTTCAGTGAGTTTTCAGAGAGAGTTAATTACACAGGAGGAGACTGCTCATCCTTCTCACACAGAGGACATGATGGTCTTGAACTGTGTGCCTTGGGGATTGGAGCACAGCTTCTTGTCACTAGGCCAGCAGAGCCCCTTCTTTTGTTTGTTGATTGCCTTATAGTTGAAAGAGAGTCATATCAACTCTATGAACAAAAGATCTAATGCCTTTCCATGGCTATCATTTTTTCCCCAAGTTCATAGAGTTCTCAGAGACATGTCATTTAGGAAGTGGATGCTACTTCTGCTTCCCAACTTGTTCTATAACTTGGAGTTCCACCAAACACTGTCCACAATGGGAAACCATTCTTGCATTTGATATCCCCATGGTACAAGTTTCAGCATTACAGGAAACCTAAGTCACCTCATGCAGCTCATTGACAAAGAGTGATGTAAAAAGTGGAAGTATATTCCTCTAGTCTTATTTAGCAGTGGATAAGTGCTGTTGAGTCAAGTATGACTCAGAGTAAGCTTTGCACAAAAGATCTGAACTCTGTTCTATAATTAACATTATTTCTGTAAATTTATAAGAGAGTTTATAGAGTTTCCAGAGGCATCTGTTTTAGGAAGTGAATGTCACTCCTGCTTCCCAACATGAATAAATCTGTAAGCTCACCCAAACACTATACATAATGGGTAACCATTATAGTATTTGACACTAGTATGGAATAGTGTTCAACATCACAGCGACTCTAAGTTGTTCAGTACAGCAAATAGACAACTGATTGCTGTGTCTTTAAAGAATATTTTTCTAATTATAGAATATAATATAGAATTAGAATATGACCTAGAATTATAATAATTAAATTATAATAGAATATATTATAGACAAAGAGAATTTTCTGAATTATTTAATTTTTGTCTTTACCAAATGACTTTTCTGTAAGAGCTAAAAAGAACCTACCAGATGGGGGGAAATATTTGTCAATAAGATATCCAACAAGACAATAATAAATTATAGAAAATTTCAATACCTAATAATAAAAGGACAAACAATTAAGTATAAAATATAGTGAGAGGAAAGTAACAGGCATTTTACCAAATATGATATTTCTGTGGCAAAGACAGAAACATCTAAAAAGTAATGATACTAATAAATTAGAGGCATGCAAATAAAAAAAAACATTGATTTATCATTTCACCCCAACAGCAAAAATCAGAAAAAATAATAAAAATCAACAAATATAAATGTGAGTGTCAAGAAATAGGAACTGTTCTACAGTGCTGAGGAGATTACGAAATGTTGTAACTGCTGGTGTTTTGTTGTGGTTTTTTTTTAATATGAGACTATAAAGGGATGTAGCCAATCTCCATACCTTTTCTTTCTTTTTTTTACTATTATTAATTTCAATGAACATTTACAGATTTGGATTTCCATTCATTCATTGTTACACTTTTCTCAATCTCTATCTTTTCAACCTATATGCAGAACAGATTATCCGGGAGGCTGGGCTCTGTGAGGAGAAGTGTGGCATCAGGATTGGTGGAAGATTCATCAACAGTCTACGTAGTGCAGATGATACAACCCTGCTTGCTGAAACTGAGAAAGACCTGAAGTGCTTGCTGCAGAGGGTCAAGGACTGAAGCCTTCAATGTGAATTAAGGCTCAATATCAAGAAGACAAAGATTCTCACCACTGGGCCAACTGGTAACAACAGGATGGATGGGGCAGTGATTGAGATTTTTAATAGCTTTAGTTTGCTTGGTTCCACAGTCAACACTCTTGTTGTCACCAGCAGCCAGCAAATTAAAAGATGTATTGCCATGGAGAAGTCTTCTGTTAGGAACCCCTCCAGAGTACTGAAGAACAATGGTGTCACTCTGGAGACTAGGATGAACCTGATACAGACCATGGTCTTTTCAATCGCTTGCTATGAATCAGAGAGCTGGACAATGACTAGGAAGGATAGGAGAATTTGTGCCTTTGTGCTGTGGTGTTGGAGAAGAGTAATGAATATAGCATGAACTGCTAAGAAAATGAACAGGTTCATCCTGGAGAGGGTTAAACCAGGCTGCTTCTTGGAGGCGAGGATTCTGAAGTTTTGTTTGATATACTTTGTACATGTTGAGAGGAGAGACCAGTTCTTGGAGAAGGATGTCTTACTGTCTGTTTGCTGGCAATAAACAGTGACACCCTGATGGGGGTAAGCACGATGGAGAGACACCATTCTGGGAGCAGTTCAGAGACTCAATCCAGCTCAGTTTTATTGGAGGCTGCAGCGCACTTATATACCAACAAGTAAACAGGAAGACAGGATAGGGCAGACTTATAGATGTAGGACATACAGATTTGGTATTGAGAACCTCAGCCTTATGCAGACTACTCCCAGCTGAACAGATGCGGCAGCCATCTTCCCAAGTGGCAAGCTTTCTCCAGCCGGTATGGCCAAACATAGAACTTTCTTTATCCCATATTAAAGGCCATTAGGAGGCTTGCACTTAACTGGAGCTTAGACGATCTGTCCTGGCCAGATGTCCTCCCTTCTTCCCCAACATTCCCCAAGACACATTGTGCTTGGGAAGGTGGAGGGACAGTGGAGGAGAGGAAGACTCTCTATGAGGTGGATTGATTCAATGACTGGAGTAATGGAGGTAGGTGTGTCGAGACAGTGAGACTGTCACAGGACAGAGCAGGGTTTAGGGCTTTGTACGTAGGGTTGCTACGAGTCACAGGTGACTTGATGGCACTTAACAACAACACGAGAATATAAAATTATTTGATTCAATGATCTTAAAACTTGGTATGTGTCTCAATGAAAAAATAGACATGGCAGGAAGAGCTACAAGCACACTCATGTACATCATGTTCTTAACAACATTTTGTGTACTAGCCAATAGACGGAAACAATCTTTGTATCCCTGAAGGGGTGGGTGGGTAAATATGACACAAATGACACTTATGAAGCATCTTTAAAAGGTAATGAAGAATTTGAAAAATAGTGAGATATGGATTACTCTAGGGAAAAGAAGCTTATTTAACTAAGTTATCACAAAAGGAAATATATGAGACCATTATTATAAAAAGTTAAGGAAAGGTTTGCACACAGAAGGAAACCTTCTTTGATGGTTACCAGGGATAGGAAGGGAGGTGGATGGGAGATAGAAATGAGTACATTGAGAGTAACCCACTTCCCTCAAGGTGATTCCAACTCATGGATACTCTCCTGAGTTTCTGAGGCTGTAATTTTGCAGGAGGAGACAACCTTGTCTTTCTCCTTTACACCAATATTGCAGTGGGCAGCTCAATTATGCATTTTGCAATCACATATTACTAATTAGATGATAAAATTTATAAAGTTAGATGAGGAGAAGGTGAAACTAAAAAATGGAGTAAACACTATAATATTAGTAAAATAAAAAGAAAAAAAACAACAGTTGCTCAGGTTACAGTCAAGAGTATGTTATAGAAAAAAAAGACAGTTATCAATAATTAGAAACATTTATCTCTGTAAGGAGATGAAAAGATGATCGATTTGAGAAGGAGAAAGGGATTAAACTCATCATCTACATACATTTGATGTCAGTATGCCACAGGATAGATGTACACACTGTAAATATATGCATAGAAACAGTGAAGCCACCAGAGCGCGCCATAATGTAAGCTTCATCACATGAACCAGAGTCCCTCAAGGAATCTGTTTCTGGTCAGATCCTCAGGGCCATAGTCTCTGGAGTTTTTCTAGATATCACATTGGTAGATATATAAATGGTGTCTTAGAAACTTGCTAGTTATTATCTAAAATATAACTAATGGCCTTTACCTGTATGGAAAAAAGAGCAATGAAGAACACTGTTGTTGCAATAAAAAAATTAGTCCATAATAGTAGTACTGACCAATAAGGAAAAATTCTGTCATGCTGAGGAGAATACAAATAGACAGCATCTGCCAATCACTGCTGACCACTATGAAAGTGTTCACATTAGAACATAGTGAACAGAGACTGAGATAAATGAGAAAGAAAACTCAAAAATCACAAAAGTGACATATGGGTCATGGACAGTCATCAACCTTGTAAAAATTCTTAGAACTCATCCTAGTGGTTCATATTTTAGGCAAACAAGGATAACATCAAGGATTTATTCCCTCTTAGAATAACCCACTATTCAAGACAAAAATGGTAGAACTTGCTGAGATATAAAACTCAGAAGGCAGGAAGAGAGAGAATAGAAAGATGAACAGAAAGTTGAAAGTGTGCATTTACAAGGTGGGGGTTTTAATTAATGTCACAAAACAAAACATAGAAAAATTATTGCATGGAAAGTAAACCTGCTCTGTAAACTTTCAATAATTTGGTTTTTTAAAAAAATATTAAAATAAGAAACTTTTTTCCAGAACGATATCATTAATCTTCCCAGTCCTCCTAGGACACTCATGTCTGCTCTGGGCAATGGCCTCACAGAGTCATGCTACTTCACGTCTTGATAATATACAGGATGAGCACATGCAAATAGAGCCCTTTCTTCTGCTGATAAAAACCAGCCCAGCTCCAAACCTGCACTTCTGGGAGAGGAGCCCCAGAATCTCAGGAGTCCTTCGTCAAGAATGAGGGCTGAACACAGACAAGTCACTATGTCTCCTCTAAACTGGATTTTCCTTGTTGCTATTATAAAAGGTAATTTTGTAGAGAGCAAGTGTACCTAATTGGGATGATTGAAATAACGCACATATGTAATTATTTTCCTGATCTGAATGTCACTGTGTTTGCAGGTGTCCGGTGTGAGGTGCAACTAGTGGAGTCTGGGGGAGACCTGAGGCAGCCTGAGGGGTCTCTGAGACTCTCCTGTGTAGCCTCTGGGTTCACCTTCAGTAGCAATCACATGAACTGGGTTCGCCAAGCTCCAGGGAAGGGACTGCAGTGGGTATCACGTATTAGTGCTGATGGTAGCACATACTACGCAGACTCCGTGAAGGGCCGATTCACCATCTCCAAAGACAATTCCAAGAACATGATATATCTCCAGATGAACAATCTGAGAACTGAGGACACAGCCATGTATTACTGTGCAAGACACAGTGAGAGGAAGTCCGGAGAGCTCAGACAGAAACCTCTCTGTGAGAGCCAAGAGCATAGGATGCAGATCCAGTATAAGGTGCAGATGGAGGTTGAAGGTGGTTTCCTGTTGTGACCTGGGCATCTCTCCTTCTCTCCCCTCCTCTCCTATATTTTCCTCTCCTTTATTTCCTTCTATTCTCCTCCCCTCCTTTCTCTTCTCCTCCCTCTCTCCATTTATTCCCTCATCTTCCTTCCCTTTTCACACTCTGTGGTACTAGAATATTACAGCTAATATCATATGGATGTTGGTTGAAAGCAGAGAGTAGAAGAGGAATGTCTATCTATGTTCCATTGACTGTGAAAAGGCATTTGACTGTGTGGATCACAAAAAACTGTGGCTAACTCTGAGAAGAATGGGACCCAGAACATTTGAATTTACTTATATGAAATCTATACTTGGACCGAGAGGCTCTCATCAAACCAGAGCAAGGAAACACTGCCCAGTTCTAAATTGGGAAGGGTTTGCTTCAAGTATGTGTCCTATCTCCATATCTTTTCAATCTGCATGCGGAACACATTATCCAGAATGCTAGGCTCTATGAAGAGAAGTGTGGCATCAAGATTGGAGGTAGTCTGATCCAATCTGTGCTATGTAGATAGCACAACCCTAGTTCCTGAAACTGAGGAGGGTCTGAAGAGTTTGCTGCAGAAGGTGGACTGAAGCTCAACATCAAGAAAACAAAGCTTCTCACCACTGAGCCAATTGACAGTATCATGATGAATGAAGAAGAGAATGAGATTGTTGACAGCTTCAGTTTGCTTGTCTCTACAGTAGCTTGGTAACAGGAGCCAGAAAATGAAAAGATTAAGTGCATTGGGAAGGTCTGCTGTCAGAGACCTTTCAAAAGTACTGAAGAGCAATGATGTCAGTGTGGAGACTAAGGTGCACCTGATTCAGGCCATGGTCTTTGCAAATAATTGCTATGCATCAGAGAGCTGGAAAATGACTAAGGATGATAGAAGGAGAGTTGATGGCTTTGAACTTTGGTGCTGGAGAAGAGTATTGTATGGACTACTAGGAGAACAAGCAAGTCTATCTTGGAGAGGGTGAAACCAGTCTGCCCCTTGGAGGCAAGGATTCTGAAGCTTTCTGTGAAATACTTTGTACATGTTGCAAGGTGGGATCAATCCTTGGAGAGGGACATCATGCTTCGGAGGGTGGAAGAACAGAGAGAAGAAGATCCTCAATGAGATGGATTCATTCAGTCACTGGGTTAATGAGGATAGGCATGTTGGAAACAATAAGCTTGGCAAGGGATAGACCATGGTTTAGGGCTGTTGTATATAGGTTCTCCATGAGTCGAAGGTGCCTTGACAGCACATAATGATAATGGTGACGACAACAACAACAACAACAAGATATGCAATGAATAAAATTCTGCATGGTCTACACCATCAGAATTCTGCTGAACTCAGGGAAACCTTGGCATTCATTCATTGTCTGTTGGATTATGTACCCATTAATACCTTCAGTGTAACTTGGACTTCCTTCTTCAGTACCATTGGTTCTTTATCAAATGCCACTTCTTAAAGTGGTTCAGTGTTGGCCAGTTCTATTTGATACAGGAATTTGTGCATTCTCCCCACCTTCTTTTGATGTTTGTGTTTTGGGGTTTGTTTTGTTTACCTCATTTAATATATTGCCCAAAGAATCCTTTGGTATTGTAACACTAGGCCTGCCCAGCTTATTATAATACTTGGCTGTTCTTCACAAATTGCCCTTCACATCTCCTTTTTACATGTTCTACTACATAATTTATCTCATTTTTACTTATCTCCATTGAAGAAGAAGTTTCAGAGTCCCTTGGATTTAATTTCAGACATTTTGTCTTTTTTTATCTTAATGACACTATCTCCATATCTTTTCAACCTGTATGCAGAACAGATTATCCAGGAGGCCGGGCTCTCTGAGGAGAAATGTGGGGTCAGAATTGGTGGATGATTTATCAACAATATGAGTTATGC